TTGCAGAGGTAATAGGATAGAAGTAAAAGTTGCATTTTAATATACAAAACACCCAATAACCCAGCGATCCATGCAACCAAATAGCATCTCTGTCCCATTCATTTCAAGGAGAGTGATATCCTCTGGAAAAAGAAATTATTAAACACTAATGTTTGCTGTCTGACACTGAATTTACTTTGTGAAACAGTGAAAATGTGACAGTGACAGGAAAGAGGGAAGTTAAACATAGACAGAGTGGTAGTTTCACCCCAAATCAGCAAAATCCCTTTTTGACATCTTAAAAGAAACCTACCTGTTAATAAGATCAACAGATTTTTAATCAAGATAATTCACACATCTTTTCCTACGTGTTTAACAAGAAACATCTTAGGCTTTCCTTACCCTTACTACTTCTAAAGCTTCAAACTGTAAGCAAAGAAACGGACTATGTTGTGAATTGCAACCCTTTTGCATCATGTGAAAGGCTTTCCTATTTGCATTACAGAAAGACTTCTTTCTCTCTAAAATTATCCATGCATTTAAAGATTGGGGTGAAAAAGCACCTGTTACTCTCAACATTTCACTAGAAACCATCTGGCCTTACTTTTAGTTCAGCTGCTGCCTCTGTTTCCTCTATTTGCTGCAGACCTACAGAGGCTGACAGGAAGGAGCAATGGTTTTCTGTCTGTGAGCAAAGCACAGGGGAGAAAGGGAGTCATCTATGAAGGCTGGAATACTTCAGTGCCCCAAAGGCATCAGTCTGAGATAGCGCATAGGCAAGTAGTAACTCTGCCAGCTGAAGAATAATCCAAGGAAAGTATTTAATAGGTCTGTCTGGACCCGAGTGTCAAAGTCTTTTTGGCAGATGGAGTCAGGATTGTGAATGCAGTCAGGAAACTATGCAACATTTTCAACTTAATATTGACCAAGTATGGACTTTTCAATAGAAGATTCCTAACCAGTCACCATATGAGAACAACGTGACTGAAGTTATTAGTCCTAACACAGGTCTTTAACAGACATCCTAACGGAAATAGGCTTTTTATCCTTAAAACAAGTGTTCAAAGGATCAAATAATCCTTGTCACTAAGAGTCGAACAATGGTTAAGAGTAGGGGAAAAAAAAATGGAGAGAAGTTCCATAATGCCCCAACACAAACAATTTCTTGCAAGCCCCAGTACAAGCACTCATTCTTATAAAAGCAAAGAGCTAATTGGGTAGGTTTCCCTGACACCTCTAAGACAAGAATCCAGCTCTGTCTCTGGACGATGTCAAGTTCTCATAGTATTTCTGCAGCAGGGACCGTAGAGTGGAGGGGAGGGTCAATTCTACTACACCCCATGGCATGTTAGCCCACAAAAAGAATGTCTCAGCCCAATTCTCCACCCTTTCTGAACAATATATTATTTAGGTCACATAGATAAGCACCACAGATGTGCAAGAAAAAAAAAGCCACAGACAGTTCTGTTCCTAAGCTCGACGTCTAAGTTCCTCAGCACAGCAAACACTGACTGGATGTTAGGGCAAAGGTGCAGGAAGTAAGTCAAGTTTTTGTAATGCAAACCTGTAATGGTTTCTTTTTGAAGATACATACATCTAAATCTGCTCTTAAACCAATGAGCTGTGAATTCCAAGCCTGGATTTTGCTACAGATATCACCCCTTATTGCCATAATTATCCTGCAAAACGTCAGCTTTCTTTTAGGAAAAATGTCTCCCTAAGCCCACATACCAGCAGAGATGATCTTGGAAACATAACCTAGGTGTGAACTCACAAAGTCTTAACTGAAGAGGCTGCAAACAACCTGACACTACAGCAAACATCCCCATGCACTTCTCTCAAGAGAACCACGCAATGTAGCCATTTGTCATGGACTTTGAGATTTTGCTAAGGCCAAATATTTTGGTTTCCTTCCCCCTTCCCGCTCTGCCAGGACCTGCCTGCAAGTCCTTTATATTCCTCAGTCTTCCCTCAGTGAGGAGTTTGTTGGAATAGGTGCAGGAAACAAGAACTCGATTCCAACTTGTAATCAAGGAGTCTGCAGAGTCAAAATAATGGGATGAAAGAACAGCCTAACAGCTGGATCAGCTGCCTAAATGACACAGGGAAGAAAATCTCTGAAAGTTATCTGTAAACCTTAGAAGCTTACATATTTTCAGCACTGAAATAGGTAAAAAAAAGATTTGTCTTATTAGGTCCAGAAAAAAATATTTAAGTTTTATGAATGGAATGAGGGTTTATCAAATTTATACATTGATTTAGACCACAAAGTCGATTATTACCAGTGGTATTTATTTATCTAATTTCACTAAAGAGACCCCGACTTTACTTTAGTACAGGTATCTTTCCTGTACTAAAGATGATACTGAATCTTCGTGTAAAGTCATTTTGCTACACAAACGGACACTTACATTCTCTCTGCTGCTTCCTAAGTTAACAGCGATAACCACATGCGAAGTTCAGGTGGGAACTGAGCTGTGGGCAATTACTGTTATACTTTCACAATCTATTTTTAAGTTTTTTCTGCTCAGCACAGAACAGACATGAGTAAGTACAGTAACTATGCAAGAGCAAAACCTGAGAGAAAGAAGAGATCCAACAAGAAAGGGAGGCCACTAGCTGACATTTTAAAAGGGCAAATTGAAAGCAATCAACACCCAACAAAATGCTCAATGTAGGATGAGGTGATAGCTTAGGATATACTTAGGATACTGTAATGAGGCTAACAAGTGCTGTGTGTTTTAATGTAAATTAACACAAGATAATCTCTTCACATATTTAAGTGATACACTTCAAATTAATTAATACATATTTAATAGAAGTCTTCTTGAACAGCTGTTATTTACTTCTGGAGTTTCTACACATTAGCACTGCCTGCTTTGTTCTGCTCTGAAGTTGTTCATGCTCCAAAGTACTTTAACAACTTGGGCGGTATAAAAATTGAACACTCTTCGCAGAAGAGACAGCCTTTCTGATAACTTAATATTTTTACATTAAGTATTCAAACACTTTCTGAACAAAAGGTCAAATTCTACTTACAGCATCTGTGTGAAACAGGCAAGCAGATGCTTAATGCTGCTAGACAAATACTTTCGGCACAAAGAATGATAAAGAGTTGGTGATCAGTCACATTTCCAGCCTTTAAAAATCAGCTTTCCTTTACTTCTGTTCCCTAAATTCTGCACTTACCATTCATATGTAACAATAAAGACCCAAATTATGGCCTGTTCCTTCCATAAGTGTTACACAGTGGTGTGTTAAATGAAATCCTGACAGTGAAAGTGCTGGCTACAGTATTCGTTGCATGTTATGAGTATTACACCAACTCCTTAGGGTTTTTGTCTTACAAAGACTACTGTGTACGACATTACTTCATTTAGACCTTGCAAACAGCATCGAAGTAGTTCTCACTTACCACCCCTTTTCATTTGAGTCCCAGTCACTTCTGAGTTTTTAGGATGTGAATGAGTAGAAACCAATTCAAGAAACATGCTGGTAACACATTATATTTTCACACTCACAGTGATGAATGTGACTTTTGGCAACTGTAATCGGTTTCTTTAAACATAGTTATCATCACTGAACAATCCTTATCAGTGTATCGGTTGTAGTTTTCAGCTGACTACTTGAAGATGTTTACTCTTCTTATGGCACTAGAGCACTGGCTAGTGCTCATTAGGCTGACATGTCAGCCTTTCTAGCTTACAGGTTTACTGAAAATAACTTTCAAAGTTGGTAACAATTGTATTAGAAAATACTTGTTGGGACAACCATCATTAAATCTTCTGTGCAATGATGTATGGAAATACATGCAGCTTGTGAAAGGCCTGAAAACAGTCCTAAATACACAAAGGTGAAAAATATGTACTGATTTAAGCACACCGATATTACTGGTATCTAAATTCATTCTTTTTTATTAAATGTGGTGTTTTCACAATAAAGAGGACATAAGACGGAAGTCACGACTCAGGCTAAGAACTTAAAGACTAAACCAGATTGATGCTTTAACTGGTAAATATGCTGTGGGTAAATGAGTGTGTGGAAGACAGATTTAGAAAGCATCTTCACGATCCTCAAATAATTCTGCACTGCCTACACCAGCAGCTTGGAGTTAGAGCTGCAGATGCAAGGAATGAGGAAGATGATCTAAATAATTTTTCCCTGCCGCTGAGTGTGGCTGGTGCAAGACTGCCTTAGCTTTCAGGTAGAATCGGTTTCCTGATCCCTGTGAGGCCACATGAATGCTATTGCTGGCACAAGAGAAACAGTGGGGACAAGTGGTTGAGATAGAACTGTTGGTTTTGATGGAAGGCCAAACACATGGCAGATTAAAACACCTGTGTAAATGTGGACTTTGAAAAAGTAGTGCCGGCCACAATAAACAGGCACCTGAAGGGATTTCTATGCATTGAAACTTTGTCAGCGTATTTAGGAGGAAAAGGGAGAAAAGCAGAAGAATGCCAAGGTTGTCATGAGTCTAAAGAATCTCTTTTCCAGGAGGTCAGCACACCAAAGACATTTCACTGCTTTTGATGGGAGTCATGTGGGAGACAGACTAGTCCAGAAAAAAGAAATGAGAAGACTTAATCTCATGCTGTGATATTCTGGAATCACCATTATGTTAATGAAACTGAATTTCTTGAAAACCTTTTTGCCTTTGGAAGGAGGATGTATCTTTTGTTCAGAGAAGCATGGGCACTGCCAGCTGACACAAAAAATGTGTTCGTATACTTGCTTTGGTATCTACAATATAACTTTCATTAGCATCAGCAGAAGCCTGATGCATAGATGTCAAGGAAAGAGAGAGAGATCCCAGAGGACAAATTTAGCTCCCAGTCCCAGGGAATGAAAACATATGTCCACATTTTATACGGCCATGACATAACAGGTATTCTTTGGGTTATTTTAAACTTCCTTAGAGCTAAAAGATCAAATTGAAGGGGAATCTCTTACAACATACACAGTGAGACTGTCATATTTTTCCTCTACATTTTATAGGAAAAATGGAAATCTGTGTTTACCTGTCAGCTTTGGTAGAAAGGTTTCCATAATTACAGCTTGTGTATTGGAAGGAACCTGGCAGTTTTTAACATCACTAATACTAGTCTGGAGAGGTACAAAGCTGTAGGAGCTTGCTGAAAAATAACAATAAATCTTTATTAAAATTTCCAATTTTTGCAAAAATGTTTTAACTAAATTCCAACTCTACTTAAAATGTAATCAAATATTTACATTTATTCTCTATTAAATATTGTAAGTAAATCAATTTCCCAATTATCTTAAATTTTTGTATGGTATACAATTACTACATTTTTATAATAAATGCACAATTCTAATGAAAAAATAATGATCTTGAACTTTAATAGAGCCCTTCATTTGAGGAGATGAAAGTGCTGTACATTCATTCATTTATTATGTCTTACAACCCCCGTGTGATGTAGGTACTATTATCATCGTTTTACAGATGGGGAAACTGAAAGGCTAATTAACTTGTCCAATTTACAATACTCTTAGCTGTAAACTTAGGGCATCCTATTGTACTCACAGGCAAAACAAAACTCAGCTCACCTGTCATGAATATTTACTAAAAATTCTTAAACTCCATAACTATTTTACTTATAGGGGAGAATACATTACACAAGCCTTCACAGAGTTGGTTTTGCATTGACGATGGCTTTGAGTGCCACAGAAATGCGCTGCCTAGAAACAAACATCAGAGCACCAGTTTATTGTAAAGTGTTACCATGTTTCCCAGCTAGTTACGGAGATGACGTGTGTTTTCATTTAATGTTATTAGCCATTCAAGCACACATTTGTGCTTTAATTCTGTATGATGTATCGTACTGCACTTACACACACACAAAAATACTGTTTGCTGACAAACTCATTCTCTCAGTTTACTTATGTGTCCCATAAATTTCTTTACTCTGTCAGGGTCAACACCATTTGCCCAATAACCTTCTTTCTTGAAATACGAACCAATTATTAGAGCGTTTGCATCCAAGTAATTCCTCACATTCTCCAGAGTCACTCCAGACCCAATCAGCACAGGAATCTTCACAGCATGTTTAACCTCTGAAGAGAGGAAAACCAAAATTAGGGTTAAGTCCCATCTTTGAAACTCTATCAAAACTCTAATTTGCTTAGTTTTTCAACAATGAAGAAAGGTATCAAGAAACTCATGATCACGGTATTTCTTACTTCTACTATAGAATGAAACAACTTCTCTAGAAAAAACACCTTTAGCTCTGAACAGCTGTTAAGAAAAATCTCACCTTTATTCCATTTTGCATTCTGTTGTTGTATGAAATGCTGCAGAAGAATATTCCTGGCCACGTATCAGAGGATAGTTTCAGTGCTATGGAAGATATGAAAGTTGGGTCTTGGTACCATACCTGTACCCCTCTATTCTCAAGGAACAAGATTTAAGCAAGATTAAGTTGAATTGGCTGGCAGAGAATGTACTGCATTTTACTATATTCCTGCATAAATTCATTTTTATTCCACATCCCTGGTAAGAAGAGATGCTAGATGCAGGAAGTTTTTGCACAGCAGGACCAGAACCTTTTATTTACTCTGACTATTACCATCACGCTTAGAGGCTCCATTGTGCTTGAGGTGCTACACATACATGGAAAGGAGCTATCGTTTACTGCTGTGTTGCAGTAGCACCCAGTATAGATTCCAGGCAAACCAGGTCCATTGCCTTGACAAAGGATTTACTGATGCTGGAGTGACCATGTGGGCTGCCATGACCCATGTGGAGTCTTAACTGTGTTCTTGATTTCCCTCACCTTAAGATGTGAATAATCACCTCCCCCAATCTTTCCACGAAGTAATCAAAATACAGCTACAAGAGTAAGAAGCCATTCTTGTTTCCATTCATTGTATTAGCTCAGATTCTTTTTTGCAAGTCTGGTGAGATCATTACAGTGGCAGAACTATTCAGTGCTCATTACAATTCTTCAGTCATCAGTTTAAATCACAATAATGGTAGTTGGACTGGTGTGTATTTCTGCCAGGTCTCCCTGCTGAATTTATGCTACGTTGACAACTAGTAGAAGATCTTCAGTGAAGAAACAAGAAGGGCCTTATTCACAGGGAACAGAAAAGGAACATGCTCTCTACTTCATGATAAATTTTAGAAACTCAGAAGTAGGAAAGCAAGCAGTGGTCGTATAGCCTACATTGATAGCTCCAGCTAGTTTACCAGAAAGCAAAAGATAGTACTGATAAAGACTACTTCTCTTTCTATGAATGGCAATGGAACAAAAAAGCCAATTATTTTTTCTATATACAGTATGTGTTACTTAATTATCTGACCCTTTACCTAGCTCCAAAAGGAGAAATAGACAAAATATCAAAACAGGGCTCAAAATATTACAGATCCACTTCATCCCTCACGCACAGGGGTGGATTTCAGACCATGGCTCAGGTGATCAGGTACACTGTGAAATGCATGCATTCTGACAGACCTGACTGCGCAGAAACTGATCTACGGCTCAGTTACCGTAGTTCACATTTTTTAGAATAAAACCAAAAGGGGATGGCTGTTTTGACCATGAAAAGGTTCCCCCATAGATAAATAAAAGGTTATTAGAGTATTTTCTGCAGAACTTGGGTCTGTACTAGCTCTGGAAAAAAAATTTAAAAATCCCAGTTCAAGAACTACTAAGCATCCTTCTTATCCTTTCATTTCAAACTGACCATCCTAAGAGTCACTCACAGGACTGGATGCTTCATCCCTTACTTAGAGAAATGTTGTGAGGCATTATTTCTGACCTTTAAAAACATATAAATTGCTTTAATTCGTGATAAGCTGATGTAAGATGGTTAGAGCTTGAAGTAACTAGGGAAAGCATATATGCAACATAAAAAAAAGTCTGCTTCAAAACACTGTTTGTTTAAATGAAGTTTCATCAGAAGCCTAACTTATTAATTATGCTTCAGGGAAGACTAATTATTTATCACCTTCCTACTTCACCAAAGAAAGGGATCAATTAAAATGTTCTTGAATCTCTTTTTAGGTCACATGCCCTGCCATTTTTCCATCTAGGAACAATAACTCCTTCTTACAAACATTTTAACCCAAAATTAAAACCATTCCACACAGTCCCTACTGAAAATTTTAAACAAATCAGATGGATCATGCATCTATGATTAAAACTAGTTATTTCTATGCATATTTTATATTCTTATAGTCATCCTGCTTACAGCAACAAAATAATTCATTTTTAGTTATTTATAGCATTATTACTGAAATCCTGTTCTAGAAAAATCAGAATTTTATTTATATAGTATCTACATGCTCTTAGAAATATCATATCTGCTTTACATAGATACCAATGCATAATTAAGGTGCTACAACTGACCGGAGATTTGCGCAACAGTACTTTACCATATTCCCAGAGGAACTGCATTCCAAGTCAATATTTTTTTTTACAAGTGCATAAGGCACATTAGCAGGTAGTTGTTTTACAATTATTTCACAT